GGAGGTTCTCGTACGACAGATTGAATTTTATGATTGTCCAGATGCCTTTCATGCTTTTTATTCATATTCATTCCATGAATAAAAATCTGATACGTTTAAAATCCCTTCTCATTAGAGACAGCTTTTTTTGGAATGAATTTGAGTGGCAAAGACATATTTATTCAAGAGGATCAACAACAAAAAAGCCGTGGTGTCTGCACATTTTTCCACTTGCTGCATACTGGCCTAAGGACAGACAGAATGGATCATGATTTGCATGCATATTCTTTGGTGATTCCTGCAACTTCAGATAGCCTTCATTAACAAACTATGAAGACCTCACTGTTTCTGATACCTTTTTTAAATAACTATATGTAGTTGAAAGAGCCACATTCAAATTTACTGTAAAATTCCTTCCTTTGCTCAAGAAAATGAGCATGTAAGGGAGAATCTATCAGGATACAAAGGACGTGGGATCACAGCCTTGTAACAAAGCCCTCTGAGGTGGCACAGGGGTGGGGCGCAGAACCTAATGCGTCAGTAGGACATCAAATTCTTTCAAATAACACAATTTTTAGTTCAAAAGTTTCGGTTCAATTCATGTACTTTTTGTACTGGGAAAGTTAAGGTGATGGCAGAAGTTGTTCAAGAAGCAAGTGTATCTTTTGGAAGGTCAGCCAGAGAACAAGACAGAGCATATAACTCTAGAATCTATATGCTTTCCCCCCTCCAAAATTGAGGCCACCTAGTTCCTTGCATGTAATCCATTTGAGAGATGGTCACTGTATACAGGACATGATCATGTTGTTTGAGGATTTTTACAGTTTTACTTTTCAATTTTTCTCCATGCAAACTCTATATGCAGAGCTGACTTGAAGGCCCTACCGATTTATGATCTATACCAGAACGGGCTGTTAGGGCCATTGCATTCACTTTTTTTTTATGTCCAACCCAAGATTATCTAAATCAATCCCTGAAGTAGCTTTTTTGATAGTCTCTATCTGCTAATTGTATAAAATACTCTGAAATACAGAGTATTTTCTTGAAATTTAGCAGCAGAAATTTAGCAGCTTTCATGGTGTTGCAGTGACACCCAATTTAAGAACAGTGCTACTTCAGGGCAAAGGGAAAAATCTTTGATGTACTAGGTTTAATGATGTAATCTTGCTTGAAATTCCAATTTCCTGCTGTGCTATTGTGTAAAGTGCTTAGACTAAAACTAATTAACCCTTGCAGCAATGTAGTTCTATGAATATAAAATTTGCATTAATTTCCAGTGACATAGTAATTGAAGCATGACAAAAAGGCTGCATTTGATTAAATACTGAATTAAAGTTTACTATTTGGAAAGCATTGGGATCACTAGCTCTTGACTTTATGGATTACAATTCATAAATTGGGGCACGTGGGATTGGTGAATACATTAAAGCATGAAAACTCTAAGTTAAAATTCTAAAGTTATATATATGACATACACTTCTTTTAAATATTTCTAGTTCATTGCCTTTTAACCAAAGTGAATTATATAGGAGACAGAAAACAGATTTGCAGTATTTACTTTGGCTGAGCAACTTTTGACAAGGATGCTATACTACTAAGAGAGACAACTGCTTGAACCAGACTGATGAAATGGACTTTCAGTGAAATTCTGCTTGAGAGTAGTGAAAAAGAGTGAATAAGCGAAAGTGAAAAAGAGCGGAATAGTAGTGAACGTGAGCAGAATATGATAATAACATTTTCCATATAAAAATGTCCTTTAGAAGTCCCTAGAATACTAATGAAATAGAGGAGGAAAAAATCCCAAAGCCTGCTCTTTCTTTTTGACTGATTGAATGATTGATTGATTGATTGATTTCTTCACAAAAATATGTCCTTCACAACTTGTTCTAGCATTTGATCAAAATGTCATTAAATGACTTGCCAGCACAGTCTCTCTCTCCCTGGGCTGTGCATTCAGTTTGGATCATCAAGATTAGCTTGTGCCAGCTCACCTCCAGACATAAAATTGCACCTCCTTTTCCCAGCCAAAATCTTGGACTGCTGCAACTGGAATGGAAAGGGAAAGGCTTCTTCAGGCTCTGGAGCACAGAGATCAGAATTGAATTTGTACAGTAATCACCTTCACACAGCACATAGAGACCTGGAGTGAACAAGGTGAAGGGCAACTAGGACAGTATGAACACATTGGTGTTAAAGGAGGGTAAGAATGCTGGGTGCCCACTTATCAGCAGGGCAGGGAACTTATTGAGATGCTACAAGGAAAAGACTGATGCACTCATTGCAGTTTTCATCTCAGGTCTTTCACTGGAAGGTTTGTCCTCTGAGCTTCCAGGTCCCTGAGCATTCTAGCAAAATCCATGGGAGCAAACCTGTACCCACTCAGAGGAAGAAAGTTAGGCATCATTTAAGCCTCTTGGGCATACAGGAGTCCACAGAACTGGGTGGGATGCATCTAAGCTTGCTAATGACATTGTGATGCCCCACTGCATCATTTGTGAGGTGTTATGGCAACTGTGGATGCTCCTCAGAACTGGAAAAGGCAGATATCACATGGTTTTTAAGAAGGGTAAGAAGGTGGGTTCAGGGGACTACAGACTAGTCAGTCTCAACTAAGTCTCCAGGAAGATGATGGGACAAATAGACTCGTAATTGATTTCTAAACTCAAAAAGAGATGAGAAGCAGATTAAGAGCAGCCAGCACAGGTTTATCATAGAATCATAGAACCATAGAGTGTCCTGTGTCAGAAGGGACCCTAAAGGTCATCTATTTTCACCCCACTGGGACAGCTTTCACTGGACCAGGTTGCTCAAAGTCCTGTCCAACCTGGCCTTGAACACCTCCAGGCATGGGACATTCGCAGGTTTTTTGGGCAACCTGTTTCAGTGCCTCTCACAGCAAAGATTTTTTCCCCCTAAAATCTAATCTAAACCTAGTCTCTTTCAATTTGAACCCATTCCACTTGTGTTGTCACTACTTTCCCTCATAAATAATCTTGCCCCATCTCTTCTGTAAGTTCCCTCAGGAAGGCCACACTGAGGTCATCCTCAAGTCTTCTCTTCTCCAGGCTTTACCTATTTTTCCAGGTTTAGCAAGTGGAAATCATACCTGACCTTCCTCACTGCCTTCTGCGAAGAAGTGTTGGGTGCTGTGGCCAAGAGAAAGTGTGTGGATGTCGTGCACATGGATTTTAATGAGGTCTTTGACACAATCTCCCATAGTCTCCTACCATTGAATTTGGAAGATAAGGGCTGTATAAGCAGAAAAAATGGTGGGTGGGTGTGGTAGTGTGTTGTTAAGTTTCTTGTGTTATTCCCCCAATTTATGTATTGTTCTCCCCTATTATGTGTAAAATGGGTTCGTTCCCCCAGTTTTTCCCGCCAGTGCTAGCCTGTCAGCTAAGTTGCTATAGTAACCGCTATTCATAGTTGCCGATATGTAATTGCTCCTCCCCTGGTTTCCCTTATAAGTGAAAGTTGTTTCCTCCCTGTCCAGTCAATCACTCCCTTCCTCCTCCCAGGTTTCGAGAACCTTCTCCTCTCTGGAGATGGTGGTTGGCTGGGGTCCCAGGACACCTCCTTTACCTTTTGATTATTGGTCTCCATGGAGTGTCAGTTCTGTGAAGTTCATCCCCTCACCTTTCCCAATTGGCTCCGCCTGTACCCACCCCCCTCCTTTATAATCCTGTTTTCACCCCCTATGAAAAAAAACTTTTTCCCGGTTGGTTTCCCGGTGTTTGGATCCGGCATCACCTTCAATAAACCGATGTTTAACCCCCGGGAAATGGTCAGCTCCGTTCCTCTCCTATACCAGCGATGTACGCCAGTCCGCAGCCAGCACAGCCCGAGGCCATCAGACGCCGAAGGGTGCTGGCCAGGAATTGCAGAGGGGCGTCGGCCTTTCGCCCTCAGCTAGTCAGACTCTGAACTTCGAGCCACATATGTTCTCCTCTGCAGGTGGGGAACTGGCTCTGCTGGTGGACCTGAAGAGCTGCAGTTAGTGGAGCAAATTTCAGTAACTAATGGGGTCCCTCAGTGATCAGTAACAGAACCAATCCCCCTTAAAGTCTTCAGTAACAACCCAGGTGATGGGGCAGAGTGCATCCTTAGTAATTTTGTAGATGACAACAAGTTGGAGAAAGCAGTCAGTGTCCTGGAGGGCAGGGTTGCCACTTAGAGGGACCTGGATAAGCTATATATTACACGGACCATCATGAAGCTCCATAAGAGCAAGATACTGCTTGTAGGGTGGAATAGCACCATGCAACACTACGGGCTGGGGCTCACCCACCTTGGAAGGAGCTCTGGAGAAGGTGATGTGGGTCTCCTTTGTGGACAAGAAGCTCACCATAAGCCAGCAGCATGTGTTTGCAGCAGGGGGCTGCATTAGGAAAAGGGTCACCAGCAGTGCAAGGGAAGGGATCCATGTTGCTCAGTGATTTTAAGACTCCATCTAGGACAGTGTGTCCTCTTCTGGACTCTAAAGTACAAGATTGATATTGATGTACTGGACTGAGCCCAGCAGAGACCAGAAAGCTGATAAAGGATGTGGAGCACAGGCCATATGAGAAAAGTCTGAGAAAGTTGGATTTGTTCACCTTGGAGAAGAGATGCTGAAGGACAGGCCGTGCTGCTGTCCACAATTAGCTGATCAGAGAATGATAGAGCTAGAGTCTTCTTAAGGACACACAGTGATAGGATAGGAGGAAATGGGAGCAAATTACTCCAAGGTGGGAGATTCCAAATAGATATTAGGGGGGGAAAATCCCATGAAGACAGTCAAATACTGCTGCAGAATGTCCAGAAATGTTGTGTAGTCTCCATCTTTGGACATGTACAAAATTGACTGAGCATAGACCTGAACAACTTGATCAGTTTACATCTGTTTTGAGCAGGGCATAATGACTATTGGAATTCTGGAGATCCCTCCCAGCCTAAGACATAATTCTGGAATTCTGGCAGTATGCTTGAGATTGTGAGGGAAAATTTCTATCTGCTCATATACTGATTGCCACAGAGATATGAACATTTCAAAACAGAGGTAGTCTTTATTTTAAAGTCCCTTAACAGTTTTAAAGGTGTGTTTCCTAAGTTGTCAGGCAGGGTCGGTTTTGTGGACAAAGTAAAAAGCGTTTATGTTCGCAATCGTACAATCTTCCGTGTTTTGCCATCACACCATCCTGTGTGTCCTATGGAGACTTCTGAAAATTAGGAATTGGGAAGGGCATGTTTCTACAGTAGAGTATCTTTTGCCTTGAAACGGGACTGTATAATTAAGTTTTTGCAAAGCCTTTTGGATTTTTGTTCCCAGAATATAATGATTACACTTATGGTAAATGCAGGCAAATACAGGTTATTTACCACAAGAATTTTAAAAATACAGTCACATGAATTGCTTCCACAATTTTTTTTTTCTCCTTCTTTTTTCTTCCTCCTTGAACAAAACCTCAATGTTCATTAGTTTGTAAATAAAACACATCTGGCACCAACAGCCCTCATTTATGACTGTACTATCAGTTCACATGCATTTAGTTGATTTTATCCCATGACTTTAGGTAAAGGGAACCTCACTAAGTCTACAGGAGAGTAAAATTAGTTGCTATGCATTACAGGCACAAAATATTATTTTTTAAAATGCTGTTATTGTGGTCAGCTCTACTTCTTTGTACCAAAGAGGAATTCTCTTTTTATGCTGCAGTTTCGAGGCTTCATTCTGCAGCCACTGAGCTATTTGGAGTTTTGCCTGTGCAATGCCATGAGATTAACTTGTTCTGTGAGTGAAACACAGCAACATTCCATAGGACCTTCCCAGCTATCCACAAGGAGTAAAACCCGCAGGGCTTAACACAAGAGTCTCTACAGTTGGTGAATGGGACTGTTCCACCTCTGTGACCGAGTCCAGAGGGTCACAGAGTGCATCACGTCCAGGTTTAACCTCCAACTCCAGTCAAATTAGGAGTGCCCAACTTTTCACAGCTCCTTCGTGTTCTTAACCTGGAGTAATTTTATGCCACAAAAGTATTTATAAATATAGACTGAAAAAATAATCTTATTAGTCAGATGAAGGTGTTACTAACAAGACAATGAACAGGAACCAGTTGTGTGTCCTGCAGCTGACATTCATAGTGGTGTCACTGCATGGTCATTGTAACGTGAGGTAAAATATTGATTTATTGTTATAGATAATAATGATGTGCAAGATCCAGTTAAACTAGCAACATTTCAATAGATGAATGAAAATAAATTGTCTCCCTCATTTTCCATTAAATCTGTAAGCATCTTTAAGTGCAACAAATTGTTCTGATGACCAAAACTGTTTTATATACATATTAAGAAATATATACAATCTTCCATATATATTTATTCATTGGCAAATTCCCAGACTGGTTCAATTCATTAAAATACAATTGGGAAATGAAAACAATAATTTTTATCCAAGTACGTTCTTGAAGGAAGAAGTGGAGAGACAGAAAGGTGTTTCTGCTCCTGAGAATGAGCCAGGCAGAATTATTCCATTCAGTCAATAATTTAATGAGAAATCTCATCAAAGTCAACATTAATAGGACTGTGCCTTTAGTTTTAATTCTTCCTTGAGACTGATATTTTCACTAGCACAGAGAGACAGGATAAGATTAATGCATTGTTTCAGTCTCATTTAGACTTTACCAGACCTCCACTTCTCTCTTTACCGTAACAGAATTTACAACTGGTCTTCACCCATCTACATGGGAGTAAGATTTTTTCTAATCTGAAATCTATTGTAAGAACAGTTCTAGAATACATTTACTTCTTTTAATTAACATAAAATACAACAGTTTTTAATCAAGGTAACACTAAAGGTTTGAAAACACTCCACATTTTCTGGAAACAGACTTTTTCCCTGAGGTCCTAGTTTTTCCTTCACTAGTTACCTTGTGCAGGACATAGGGTCTACCTGACTTTTTTTCCTCTTTTTTCTTAAAGTGCCTATATCAGATATGCTGGTGTAAATACTTTTATATAACAAAAGTAACAATTTCCTCAAACACACATAAATCTGTTCAGAGCTGATATGTTCTTCCTGACTATACTTTCAAATCATGCTATAACCATATCAACTCTCTTGATAGTGCATTTATAGAGTTTTCCTTCAAACTTCACTTTGGGAAAATGGATTTTGAATTAAAGTAAGAAAAGGGAGAAAACTAATTTAAGGCTGCTGATAGAAATATAGGTAGAAATATACATTTCTACACAAAAAACTTTTTATCATTGAGAGCCACATTTAGTTATCTAAATATAATTTTTTTGCATTTGATTGACTTAAAAAATTGTATTTTATGGATTTGATTGATTTCCGGGTCAACTAAAATGCAGTACTTTGTAGTAATACATGGTATAAAAAACTATTTTTAATAGTTTTTATACCATGTATTACTACAAAGCATGAGTTGTTTTATACATATATTATAACAAGCATGAGTTATTTTCCATACATCAGGACTCAACAAGTAGCAGTACCTGGCACAATAATAGCAAATTGGCTTTGCAACTACCATACAGTGCAGGGCCCCTTCCAGGTAATGCTGTGTCCCTGACTGGGTCAGAGTGGCAGAGGCAAAATGATCTTTCTAGTTTCTTCCAAACCAGGCCATTCTACGTCTCAGTGATTCTATTCAATTATTTGTGTGAGCTTAATTTAGGATAGTTGGGAACATATCAGAACAAGGATTCTGAAAATGATATTTAATTTTTAAAGAGCAGATAAAATTTGCAAAATGACTTTATACAAATTTCAAGTTTGCTCCTCATGAGTATTGAGAGCAATAGCAGCTCATTTTTCTGGCCAAAGAAATGGTTCTAACATTTACATTTATTTTATGGAGCTAAACCAATTGTTTTTGGACTCTATTCTGACTTATTCCAGTGAGAGATAAACCAAGGTCTATCAACTTATTTCTAATAATAGTTCACCAATAAGCCAGACAAACAATTTTGACTTTCAAATCACAATTTTGACTACTCAGAGAAGTCAGAAAAAGCTAGACTGTCAGGAATCAAATATTATATGCTTTCTTACAAGTTTCAGAGACTTTCAAAACTTCTCATTTACTGTGTAGATATATATGTATGTTGATTTTGTGTTCTATATCTTGCTGTGGACATCATGGAAAAAGACAATACCTATCAAAATTGATTCAGACTTAGAAAATTACGTTTCAGGTAAGACCTACTTATTAATGATTGCTACTTTTAGCCACAGTATTTTTATTTTCTGCCACGAGGTTATATTTGTCCCATGCCTTCATTATCCCTATGCACAAAGTTTTCATCTTCTTATCAGCTTATCACTGTATGAGCTGAGGGTGCTGGACTTCTGAGATTATCAGAAATCATGTGAAGAACATGAAAGCAGCTAAAATAATATTCACATGTGTTACTTTGCTGTACTTTACATAGGCTTTTGACAAGCTAACAGAACATTTAAAATACTGTGGTTCTTTGATATTTTTCTATCACTCTAGCAATACAAGGGTGGTGTTTAATACATCTTTATGGCTTCAGAAGGAGTATATCGGCTGTACAAATTAATATTACTGCAGAACTATTTTTCATTATAGCCAGGTCAGGAAATCTGGAATGTAATAGCAACCTGAATTCCTCATTGTTCCATTTCAATCCCTGACATGGATTTACCAGAAACCTAGCTCATCTACCCTGAACAGCATTGCTAAGAAATGCTAAGAGCAATGTGCATTTCAAGCCTCATGTTAAAATAAGCTCATTGACTGTGGGCTTGTGCACAGATCCTAGTCTGATTTTGAGATAGGACAACCACATTGTGTAAATTACTATGATGCTCTGGAGTACAACCCAAATTGTAATCTGATCTGCACAGTCACTGTTACAATTTGTTACCTGGAAGAGCAGAAATCCAGTTAGAATTTGAGCTGTGTTTAAAAATAAAGCAGAAAATAATCTTTTATTTTATGAACTGCAAATATGAAGTGTAGGTAAATTATTTATGGAATTAAGATGACCTGTCCTTGCCTGAAATGTGTGTGTGTGAGCAACTTGATCTTTTTAAGAGTCAGTAAAGGTACAGTTACTGAGTTCTGCTGATAGCTCCCCTGATCAATAAAAATATCTGTTTCAAAAGAAAAGGAATAATTTCCTAGGACTCTAAGAACTACTGTGAGCATTTAGAAAATGGATTGTGTGCAAACATATACACTGGGTTCATCCCAAATTAAGCAAGATAAATCCCTCTCTAGCTATCCAAAATTAGGTGTTTGAACTATTAATCAAAGCTGCTTTTAAAGTCAGTGAAAGGAGACCAGCACCTCCACAAAGCAATTAATCTTATCCTTGGATGTGTGTTTATCATCACAGATGGAAGGAAACATATCTCCACTACAGGGAACCCTGAAGGTTGTCGTAGGTTAGACACCAGCAGTGGGTTTTGTTCGAGATTAGATGTAGACGTGAGTTGAGTTTATCAGCTACCATTAGTCAAACGGGCTTCTTCTTTTGGTCTAGCATCATTTGAGATGACCTAGGATACCCTGTCTGTGTTCAGTTGCCAGTACAGATGATCACAGGTCACATGCTGTAATTTCCAGTCTGTCTCAAATGTGTAAGGTGTGCGAAAGTGCATCAAATGACATTTTATATAGGTATTTTGGTGAATAAAATAAGTTCAATGAAAATTCAATCTTTTCTAAGGGAAGAATATTGTGTAAGGTAAATCTGTGAGAAATCAACCAATTACATTATCTACCATAAAATTAACCACAAAAGATGAAGCGAGTAGACACAGCATATTCCCATTCTCAATGTATGTAAGTATGAAGAACCTGTGAGGAAAGTCTCTAATGTTAATATTCACTTTTACACAAATAGTCTTCTCTCCAGTTTACAAATTGGATTCAAAGACTCCATTATTGTCACAGAAATGCAATGTTTGGCTTACATGTGAAAAATAGCGTTTGTCTCACCCTCTGTTCAGACACAGAAGGGAGGAAAATACCACTCCAGAGCTTTGATGAGCTCTGATGAACACATAGACTCACTACAACTTCAAAGAAACGAATCCTGGTCTTGTATAAAGAATGCAAAACTCCCGCAGAAGTAAAAAAATACCTCATTCATATGTCTGGAAACAGGATTCAGCTCTGAGAACTAAAACAGCCTGCACCCACCTGCTGCTTTAATTCTGAAACATCTTTTCAATTATTATCTTGTATAAATCACTAATCCAGAGCAATGTGCTTTACTATGAAGACAGTATTCCAGTCATAAAGTGTGATCCAAGTGGAAACTCCCCAAAATTAAGCAGGAATGACCAGAACATTACAACTATGATCTTGGTTTTCTCCATGACAAACTCTTGCATTGACTATTACACATTTACAAGGTTTCAGTTTTCATTTGGTTATTGTTGTTTAAAGCCGGAGAAGGCTTGCTCTTCTGGCCATCAGTTCCCCCTTTGGATGTGTCCTGGAAGAAAAGCCTTGGCATCCACAGTGACATTAAAATTCGCTTATATTCATTCCGAAAATTCTGATTAAGAAGACCATATATTATTGCATTAAGGCAGCTGTTGAAATAGGCCATTAAGTAACTTATAATGAATAACCATTCAGGAACTTTTGGTGCCATTTCCGTAGGATCAATGGCTACAGCCAGTCCAATGAAGTTTAGAGGTGCCCAGCAAAAGGCAAAAATCACAAAAACAACAAACATGGTAAGAAAGTTTCTGAAGTCACTTGGCTTCAATCTTGGCTTTGTTTCTGACTTGACTCGTCTTCGAACTTGAAGCACTAAAACCCAAATTCGAAGGTAGCAGAAGCTGACAATGGTGATAGGGACGATGAAGTGAATGACCACCACAGCTATTGTGTAGTAGGAGCTGGCAGTTTGGACAAACGTGCATGAATAGATGCGTGGATCATACTTCAAAGAGCCAACAAAAAAATTTGGCACAGTTGCAATTACTGTTAATATCCAGACTAAGGAGACGTACAACATTGTATTCCAACAGCTGTACACTTTGTCATAGGCAAAACTGTGACATATGTAGCAATATCTGTTTATTGCAATTGCAGTGATGTTGAAAATAGAGCCTATTACACTTAGTCCCATCACAAAGCCACTGGCTTTACAGTGTGTTTCACCCAGTGTCCATCCATTGCGGAAAATAGCTAAGAGCACCAGCGGGTATGGATACAAGGCCACCACCAGATCAGCCAAAGCTAGGCTCACCACAAATGCGTTACCTGGAAGGAAAGAAAAATACAGAAGCATAAGTCTGAAAGCAAGCATAGCTGTTAAGAAGAAGAAAAGTGTTTCATTATTATGGATGTCTGCAAGGCTAAATTATTGGTGATGTCAGCAAGCAGTTGGTAGATAGGACCAACAGGGAAATGATTTTACAACGTAACTTGGAGCACCACGGAAATATCTGGAGCAGCAGGGTGTTTCCAGTCTGTTGGTGACTGGATTATATCCTCCTTGCTCTTTTTATCTTTAATAAACATAGTCATCAGTGATCTGTTACATAAGCACATGTTGAGTTGTTTAAGTATAGCTAACTCCATGGTTGGATTGATAAAATGAAAAAAAAAAAGTCTCAATTGTGCCAGATAAGTAAGCCATTCTGCCATTCTATCCCATCACTTGCATGGTAATGGGCTTCACAAGCATAAAGGAGAAGAATATACAAAGACTAGGTTTATAGGTATTGGAAGGATGTCTTGTTTTATGTATACTCTAAATTTCTGCACAATGTTCTGTAGAATAGATATTTTCTGCATAAATGGCCTACCCATACTGCAGTTATTTTCTTTTTGGATTGTCTGAGGAAGAGTCGATCATCTTCACCATCCTCTGCAGAAAGGCATAGTTAATTATACAAAGAAAAGTTCCATGCATGCAAGAGGAAGTATTCATATTTTCTGATGATGATATTCAGGGAATATAGGTGATATGGTTGAGCCCTATCTTCTCTCTTTAACCAGTGTCCTCTTCATCAGTTTGAAATTTCTGGCATTGTATCTTAGGGTATTTTTATAAAATAGTGAGATAGTAAGCTATATTCCTGAAAAATATTCTTTAGGAACTTCACTCTAGAAGATAGAGGTATTAATGTTGAATTCTTGGCATTTAGGTATCATAAAATGTATATGGTTTGTATGGTTTTGTTTATGGCTTTCCTACTCTTCTTTCTTTCCTGGAAATCCTTCACAGCATGAACTGATATGGAAAAATCCAAGCAATTTTAAAAATTGGGCATGGAACATAATTATTTTTTGGAAGGAGAAGTTAGGTGCTCCATTCTACATATTCTGAGCTTAGTAGTCCTCAACTAACGAGTTCTCCATGTCATATTAAGAATGGCATTAACTGGAAGTCGTAAAAGCAACAACCATGTATTAATATGCTCATCAAAAATGATGGAATTTCACATCTACTCTGTTTTCTCCACCTGCTTTACATCTGTAGCTTCTTGAATTAAGGAATGGGGAACTGTCTTTCTCCCATACACTTTAGGGGACCACCATGCTCACCAGAATTTGCACAACAGCAAGTAAACTTAATGGAAAGCAGGACTATCCATCTGTACCCTCAGAAACATAGCCTATCTCAAGAGCAGTGCACAACTTATTTCAGATAGCTGTATAAAGATAGTTCCTTGTAATGCATTTAGTAGCCTGTTTCCTATATTTTAAAAAGCTACACAAGTCTTTCCATAGCTGCAGCTGGATGCTTGGTGAGGAAAGACTGAACAAATTAGGGAGCTGATTGAGTGAGCCATGATAACTTCAAATGTTCCTATGATTGTTGTGATTCCAAGCAAGCTTCAGTCACAACAAGGAAGTTTCAAAATAGACACAGAGAAAAAAAATAATGGCAAGAAGAAGGAAGTGTGGGAACACCTTGCTCTGAGTCTGCCACTGAAGAAAATAGAAAACAAGTATTTGTCAGTACTGGCCTAATTAAAGCTGATCCCTTTGTGCAGGAAGGATGAGATGACTGTGAAGGCCTCTTGTAGCCATGCGGCAAACAGGACAAAAACAAAACTAACAAAAGAACAAGGGCATCTTTATCAGAATATATTTACATCCTGGCAACAAGAATTTCTCTTACGTTTTTTCATCACTGTATCTGACATTAGAAAATAAAGAAGTCAAAAGTTGGAAGTCAGAAGAAAAGAAGGAAGGAAAGAAGGACAGAAAAAGGAAGGAAAGAAAAGACTCTTTTTTTCCGTTTTAGAATGTCTTTTGGAGAAAGAGAGAATTTAGTCTAGTGTGTTCACTGAGATTAATCTAAACTCTAAGGCCTTCCAGCATCAGCTTCTACCCAAAATGTAATTGTTCAGTTGAAATAGAGTGGGCATTGAGCTCTTTCAATCACATTTGGAAATAAACTGTAAAGTACATTTGGCAAGATATTTTCAAAGTTTTGACCACAATTTAGGACTTCTTGAAAATTCCAGGTGCAATGAATAAATAGAGTGAGCAAGGAACTTGTCAAAAACTTAATTTACTAGTTTACAACTCAGAAGAAAAATTATCCAATATCTATAAAGGCCTCAGGTGATTTGTCACTTCTACGGCTTTTTACAGAGTTGAATGCTCCCACTGTGCACTGCAAAGTAAGCTCCAATGGTATTTTTCTGTCTTTGTGGAAGACTACAGTATTAAGTTTAATGTTTATTACTGCAATGAATAATCTACAGAAGTAGAGAGAAACTTTTCTAATTCAAAAAACATAAATAATTGACATTTTGAGAAATACAGTTTATTTGAGAAATCAAAGGTCTTAGACATTTTCTATGTGCTTCCAGAAAGTAAATGTTCCTTGACACACCTAACCCAGGGCTTTTAGAGTGGCCTAAATTACATTAATAACATAAGTAAAGAGGTAACTTTTTGCTGTTTGTAACAAAATAGAAAGCACAGAATTTTCATCTAGCTGGAATTATCATCATTGCTTCTGGAATTTACTTGATGAACTTTGTTCTCAGATTTTAGTTTCACTAGAGAGAGAGGTATTTTCATTTTTTCACTGGAGTGGAAATATCCCTTAATTACAAGCAGTAGCTACTGAAAGCCATATGGCTTGCCAGGTATTTAAAAATATGCACATCTGTGCTGTCTTAAACACTGATAGTTCTATGCATAAAAAAGAAAATGAGTTCTGATATTGAATTTGGGTGCAACAGAACTAGATAGGTATTTCATGAAGCATTCCTGCATACTAATTTACTTACTACAACTAACAGGAGAAAGAGAACTGTCACACCCTCTGGTAATCTTGGTATGACTTGATGTTATGGGAATTTACTTACAGAACAAACTTTTTGGTAAGGCCAAAACCTTTAAGGGCTTAGCATCTGCCTTCTGAGAAGACAACTGACTTTGAATTTCTTTACTAAAACCAGGAGCAATTGCAATGAGCAACTATTTTTTAAAGGTTTTTCTTCGCTCTTAGGTTTTAAACTGGTGAAAATGCTTAATTATATAACATATGTCATGGTGTTTGTGGGTTTTTTTAGGTAGTGTTTTGGTTGTTACACATTTGTTTAACAAGTTTTTATATGTTGCATGCAGACATCACCCTCTTTGATCTATGACATCAGGTGGAGTAGAGAATTAAGTCTTTCACACACTGACATTTGAATTCCCTGCGACAGTACAAGCCAAGACCTAGGGTAAGCTTTGATTTACTGAGACATGTTAATTTGGTATAATGTTCAACAGCGTGTTGCTAACAGAAGGTGTAACATAATGCTCCAAACAAATGCCAGATGGGTGTTTGTTTTCTTTGTGAATGACACAGTTTAAAGGCAGTGATATGCGCTTTTGTAGTTTTGTCTCAATATTTCAGATATTAGGGAGGTATACTGCAGGCTTTGATGTAAGGGAAAGGGAGAGGTGATAGATTTCCACTAGAACAACATATTTTAGAGCCTTCCTGCCCTCTAGCAGATCAACACTCCCATCCAATTTGGTGTTGTTGGCAAACAACAGAGGGGGTACTGAAACCCCTTGTCCATATCACTGATAAAGATATTAAAGAGGACTGGCCTGAAGAAGAATGCTGGACTCACAAGAACAAAACCTTAGCACATAAAAAGGACTTAGAGATTGTGGCTAAGTGACTTTCAGACTCCTGGACTGGAACAGAACTGCGTTCTTGGCCCTACATCTGCAGCTATGAATTAGCAGTGGAAGCTACATTCGCAGGAGGTCAATTTTAGGCTTATTAGGCAGATCTCTCAGCTGTCGACACAGACACAGATTTACTGAAAGGAGGTATCTAAACTGCACTGTTGTGTTTGAGATCATGATTTTGGCATGCTTGGCAACTAGGCATGAATGCAATGCAAAACAAAACCTCCGCTTCCTCTCCCTCTGGTTAAATATGGGAACACTAGTCCTTGCTGCGAGTTTGCTGCCTTGAGTTTACCAATGGACGACAGGTGTATGAGTGCCGTGCTGCTGTTAAAAGCCGAGCAAAAGGCCTGAGGTTTGCAGTCCCTGGGCGCGCAGTTTGGCTCCCCGCGGCTCGCTCGGCGCTGCTGGGCACGGCGGTGACACTCTGTTGCCACCTAGTGCGGGAGCCACGGCAGAGACAGCGCATCGCATCCCCTGGCAGGCCAGCGGGAAACGCCCGGGGCCGGCTCTTCCAAAGCAGAACGCTGATCCTTAATCGGATACTACATTTGCGGGGCGATAAATACTTTTCTGGGCTTCTGATACTTTCTGAGATTGCAGGAACTTGTCCACTACCGGGTGTTTTCAGAAAGAAAAGGCGAAGCAGAAGAGCTAAGACAGGCTTTACTACTAGAAAATTTCACTGTTGCCTAGTAGTTAGGACTCTTCCATGATAGAAGAACCCTTCTTTGAAAAAGACTTGAGTTTATGTCTCCCGTAGTCCCCAGAGAGTGCCCTACTCACCAGCCCTGCTGCTCTTCTGGGGTTAGCATGCTTGTCTCTTTCTAGGTTATGTTCAAGAATTTCAGCCTAGAATCAGAATACACAGGTTACCACTTGTATTGTAGAGTGCTCTTTATCAGTATGCTCATCCAAAAAAAAGTTTAAAAATTCCTCTCATGATTTAACAGCAGAGAAACTGACATAGGTGCAAGGCACTGATTAGGAAGAACACTCCAGGTTCATGAATTTTGCTCCTACTTTTCTGTTAAATAATACCACCTTTGTTAGGCATCCTCTGGGAAAACTGGCAGCACTGGTCCAGCTTTCTTCTCCCAAACAGCATCATAGTGGCATACTGATGCTGAGGGATGGAGCAAAGAGAAGAGCTAGAGCTATTAAATAAGGCTAGTTGTAGTTGTATTAAAAGCAAATAAAAGGGAATGTTTGCTGCACTAGGTAGTAAATCCTTAACAGATTTTGCAGATAAAAAAAATTTTGTGTTCAAAGGAAGACTGGAAAAGTACTTGTAAGAGTACTTAATTGAAGTACTACACTTGAATTTTACTTAACAGACATACCATACTAGATTTAGGAACTCCTCTGAGATGGAAGGAATCACAAGTTGTAATAATACAGAACCATTGTACAGGGTTGCTCTGTTCTCTTTTTCTCCTCAGTTCTTGCTTC